GTGCCTTTCTGATCCCATATTTGATATGTCTGATCCTCCTCGGTATCCCGATGTTTGCCCTGGAGTGTGCATTTGGCCAGTACGGAGGCAAGGGGCCGCTGACCGTTTGGACCATAAACCCTACATTTAAAGGTGAGGGGTGGAATACCTTTTAGAATCATTATTGGAATTAGACAAGGCTGTATACTATCACCTGTACTTTTTGGAATTGTGATTGACTTAGTAATGGGACAGAGCACAGACATCGAACTGACATTAGATGGGCAAATGGCACACATCTGGGAGGTTTAGTTTTTTTTCGGATGACACTTGTCTATCAAACACTACAGTGCATGAAATGCAATTTAAAACCGACGAATTAGTAAGATCTGCAGATAACGTTGATCTGTAATAAAACTTTCTAAAACAGAATGGCTGCGATTATCACTAGAAACTACTCCCATCACTCCATGTGGATCAAATACTTTGGCAGCATTATTTTCAAACCGCAGAAAGCATAATTTACGACGTCCATCAAAGATTTAAAAATGCATTGATCTCTTTTGTAAAATTAAAAACCATATGGAATCCAAAAATCACGTCACTGAAGATTAAATTTAAGAAGCTTCCCAACTATTGTGTCAAACAGTTGGAGATGCATATAATATACCCTCCTCCTCTTTTTTTCTCCTCCGTTTCCCCCTCGTCGTCCGTCCTGTCCTCCCCTTTCCCCTTTCCCTCTCCTCCTCCTCTTCCTCTGTTTTTGTTCTCCTTTTCGTCCTTTTTGCCCTCCTCCCCTCCTCCCTCTGTCCTAATCTAATTCTTGTTCGTCCCCTTCCTCCACCCCCTCCTCCTTAATGTTCTCCGTCTCCTCCACCTCCCCCTGTTCCTCCTGCTCCTCTTCCTCCTCCTCTTTCTGCTCCTCTTCCTCCTCTTCCTCCTTCTGTGTCGAATACCTTTTTAATTTCTTTTGGTTGTGTGCAATGTTTACCCAATCAATAACGCCCCCTTTCTTTCTCCTATATCTACGTAGGCCTAGGCGTCTCCATGGTTGCAGCTTCCTGTATAGTGTTCGTCTACTATGACATCATCATAGCTTGGTCACTCCGCTACCTGGTGGCCTCCATGACCAGCACCCTGCCCTGGATCGACTGCCACGACTGTAGCTGTCTACTCTACAACAAGAACGTGACAGAAGACGAACTGGAAGTCCTTCGATACAACAACTCTTTAGGATATCCTTGTTGTGAGTATCTTACACGACGTTTCTTTCCCCCGCCCCCTTCTTTTTAATATGGTTTTAACAAGAGTTTTACGGCACTTGTAACACAATAAGGTCTTACAAACAAGTGCCGAAGATTAGAGGTGTTGGAAAAGAGTAACAAACACAAAAAGAAGGTGGAGAGATCAGGACCATAAGTGTTTGATAGGAAAGAAAGAGCAAACTACACGAGAGCACCCGCCATCCACCTACTTAACTGTTCACCTTCGGTCATGTAAGTATTTCATTGTAGTGAAAGGAACTTGTCACTTGCCATGTCCTCGGGCATAATGGGTGATCACTGCGAGCTGTTTCTTTTTCCTGAGAGACATTGCTATTGCTCCTGTGATCTCCGTTGTAACCCTAGATTGCGTTGGGTCAAATAGTATGAAATGGAGGAAATGTTTGTTTTTTCATAAGGGGGGGGGG